CAAAAGTCCCATTCTGCAAATGGTGCTGCACCAGTTGAGTAGTCCTCGACTTACGACCGGTTGAGTAGTCCTCGACTTACGACCGGTTGGGGGTCGCGGCATTAAAAAGGTTGAGAACCACTGCACTAGGAGATGGTGAGTTCTAGTCCCAGCTTAGGCATGAAAGCCAGCTGGATGACTTTGGACCAGTCACCAGGGGAGAGTGAGTTCTAGTCCTGCCTTAAGTCCAACAGCTGGCTGGGTGACTTTGGGCCAATCACCAGTTGTTAAATGAATCGTTGCAGTAACACAGTCGTTCAGTGAATCCGGCTTCCCCCCATTGTTTGTCAGAAGATTGCAAAAGGGGATCACGTGACCCCGGGGGCACACTGCAAACCGTCATAAATCCGAGTCCGTTGCCAAAACCTCTGGATTTTGACCATGTGACCCTAGGGCAGGCTGCAACGGCCTGCAAGTGTGAAAAACGGTCCTAAAAGTCACCTTTTCCCAGTGTCGCCGTAAGTTCGAACGGTCACTAAACGAACCGTTCTAAGACCAGGACGACCTCCACCGCCTTCTAACCAAGGGGGGGCTTTTGAACCGGCGTCTCTTCCACCGCTCTTTCGCTCAACAGTTCTGCCTTTCTGGGGCTGAAGACCGGATTTCACAGAGGCTCAAAACATCTGTCCCAGGGTCAAAACGAGTTTAAAAAAAAAAAAAAAGCAAATAAATAAATCAATTAATCTCTCTCTCTTTTTTTTCTTGTCCAAGTTTCTTCCCGCTTGGCTTAAAAAGAGAGAGAGAGAGAGAAAAAAATAAATCTATTTGCAGAGCAGGAAGCGGCTTTGTTAGCGGTAATAATGGGGCAGGACCGGCCCTTTGAGCAGGCAGACACTAACGGCAATTGATGGATCTGGTCCCACCTTTGTCGCACAATAGGTTGTCCCCAGATTCGGGAATCAAGAGTTTCCTGAAAGACTCCCAAGACGCACGCAGGCACACACACGGAGCCTGCCCGGCGGCTTGACCGGTTGAATAGTTTCCAAATCCCAGTGGGGGGGGGGGAGAGGAGGAGGAGGAGGCAAATGGGATGGAATTTGGCTCCTATAATAAATAATTGGTAAGAAAGGAACCTTTTCAAGGGAAGCCCATTCGGGTGGCGCCGACAAATTCCTTCCAGGCGGAGGAACCGAGCGTTCGGAGACTGAATGCACAACACAACACACACACTGGGTGCCGTTTCCTTGCATTAAGGCCGCCGGCTTTTTTTTTTTTTTTCCTGTCGCCGGGCACAATACCCGAATCCCGCGTCTGATAAAAAAAAATTCTTATTTTAGAAAGCTGATAAGGGCCAGAGGCTGGCCACTTAAGGGCCTTTTTCCATCAAGAGGGCAAGATGGATCCCCTGGATTTGGCGCTTCGGCAGTCGTCGTAAATACAGCACGAACGCGTGGCGCCCCCCCCCGTCCGAATTTGGATAGTCCTCGACTTACATCCCTCTGCTTACTGGCCGATTAAAGCAGTGGTTCTCAACCTTTTTAATGCCGCGACCCCCAACCGGTCGTAAGTCGAGGACTACTCAACTGGTCGTAAGTCGAGGACTACTCAACTGGTGCAGCACCGTTTGCAGAATGGGACTTTTGGCGGGCTCAGCAGGGCAGAGACAGCCTGGACAATTCCTATTGGCTTTTGAAAGCCAATAGAATTAGACTCTATTCAAGAGAGTCTATTCTATTGGCTTTCAAAAGCCAATAGAATAAAAGGGAGTAGCACAGCTAAGGAAAAGGGGGAAAAAAATGGCGGACTGCGTTGTTTGGCGACCCCCGTGAAATGGTCGTTCGACCCGAAATGGGGTCCCGATCCACAGGTTGAGAACCACTGGTTTAAAGGTTGCAACATTCATTTCCTCAGGAATGGAAGATGGATGCCCTGGATTTGGCCCCTCGGCAATCGTCGTAAATACAGCACAAACGAATTGCCGCACGTCCGAATTTGGATAGTCCTCGACTTACGTCCGTTTGTTCACTGACTGTTCGAAGGTTGCAACGGCAATGAAAGAAGTGACTTAGGGCCGTTTTTCCACACTTAACGACCGTTGAAGCATGCCCAAGATCAAAGTTCAAGACGCTTAGCAACTGACTCGTATTTATGACGGTCGCAGCGTCCCCGGGATCACGTATCCCCTTTCGGTGACTTTCCGACAAGCAGAGTCAACGGGGGGGATGCCAGATTCACTTAATCGCTGTGTGACTGAGTTAACAACTGCAGCGAGTCTCTTAACAGCTGTAGCAAGCAAGGTCGTAAAATGGAGCAAAAATCACCACAAATATCTCACTTAACGACAGAGATTTTGGGCGGGAACCACCTCTCTTTCTCCCACTTCCATAATGCTGGAAGTTTAGGATCAAGCTGGGGAAAACGGAGCCTGCAATGTTATCCCTTCCATCATCCTCAACCAGGGTGATTACCCCATCCATCATCCTCAGCCGGGGATGATGGGAGCCCAACTCTGACAGATCGGCTGGCATGGTGGGGGAATTAGCCGGTTGGAAATATTTACTCTCATTTTCCTTTCTACCCACCACTCTGGATTTAAAAAAGAAAAAAAACACCACCCAACCCTGAAATTAATTCATTTCAGCTCTAGAGATGCCGAATAAACAAAAATAAAATCCTTAAGGAATAATGATGAAATAATCTCTGCAGGTCTGAAATAGAACAGAAAAACAACTTTAGGCTGTTTTGCATTCCAAATTTATTTCAGTTCCAGCTCTGTGGGGCTATTCTTGTAGATTGGAAGAGCTGATTAAAATATAAATTTAGAGGGGAATTGTGGCACGGTAAAAGGGCTGCTTTTGCCATGTAGGTAGTCCTTGACTTACAACCATCTGTTTAGTGACGGTTCAAACTTAAAATGGCCGGAAAAAAGTGACTTAGGACCATTTTTCACCCTGAGCAACTGTTGGCAGCCACCCAAAGTCATGGGATTAAAATTGGGACGCTTGGCAACTGACAGCTGTGGCCAGAAACATTGTAAAATGGGGCAAACTCACTTACCAAATGGACACTTGGCAACTGACTCGTACTTATGTCAGTTGCAGCGTCCTAGGAATCACGTGATCCCCTTTTGCGACTTTCTGACATGCAAAAGCCAGATTCACTTAGCAACCGTGTAACTAGTTTAACAACTGCAGTGATTCACTTAACAGCTGTGGCCAGAAAGGTCATAAAATGGGGCAAAACTCACTTATCAACTGTCTCATTTAACAGCAAAGTCAACGGGGAAGGCAGATTCACTTAACAACCATGTTACTGACTGAAAAACTGCAGCAAGTCACTTCACAACTGCGGCCAGTGAGGTCGCAAAATGGGGGAAACTCACTTAACGACCATCTTGCTTAGCCGTAGAAAATGTTGGCCTCAGTTTGTGGTCGTAAGTTGAGGACTGCCTGCATCTTGCCAATTGGCATGTGGTTGGTTAAAAGGCATAACGATCTGAGTAAACATTTACCTCAGATCCAAATATTTTCTTCATCCGTTCGGAAATTTAAAAAAAGACGCCTTAACTTTGAGAATTCAGATAGTCCTTGACTCACGACCACAATTGACTCCAAAATTTCAGCTGCTAAGCGAGACTGTTATTAAGCAGGTTTTGCCCCGTTTTACGACCTTTCTTGCCTCCAGTTGTTAAGTGAATCACTGCAATTGTTCAGCTAGTCACACGGTTGTTAAGCGAATCTGTCTTCCACACTGACTTTGTTTGTCAGAAGGTCGCAAAAGTGGATCTTGTGATCCCAAGATATTGCATCCGTCATAAATACGAGTCAGTTGCCGAGTGTCCAAATTTTGATTATGTGACCCTGGGGATGCTGCAGTGGTCGTTAAGTGTGAAAAATTATTATAAGTCACTTTTTTCAGTGCCATTATAACTTTGAACGGTCACTAAATGAACGGTTGTAAGTCGAGGACTGCCTGTATCGAAATTTATAGCCCAAAATCTGTCTTGTGAGGGCTCCTCTGAGTCTCCTTGTCAAAGGAGCTGATAATTGAAATAATGTAATTTTTTTCCCCCTCAATTCAGGCTTTGTTTTCAAACGTGACCTGGATTTCTCCTTCCGGCAATACTAATTAATTGTATTTCTATTGAATTTCTCTGTGGTACTTAAGAAAAAAATATATATATATAATTTTTTTCCCCCTAGGAAAGAAGAAAAGATGGGAGAGCATAGCAAATATTTTTTTTTCTTCCATCGTTTTCGGTTAAAAAAAATAAGCTGGTGTTTTTTCACCGTGAATACCAAGCGAAATTTTACATTCTTCCTTCCGTGCGCAAAGAACTATTGATAATAATAATAATATTTAAAAGAGTTATAATTAAAATGATAGTTAAAATAGTTAAAACCTGGGAAGAAAGAGGAGACCCTGTCTTAAACCCTTACAATACAGTGAACCCCACAATGTATGTTTAGTCTTGCTGGTCTCATTCAGCCTACCTCAAAGGGCTGTTGTGGGATGAGACGCAAACTTCTACAGGTGGACCTTGTCTCACAACAATCCATTTACTGTCTGTTCAAAGTTACAACAGCACTGAAAAAAAGTGACTTACGACCGTTTTTCACAGTTACAACCTTTGCATCATCCCCCAAAATTCAGACGCTTGACAATTGACTCACATTTATGATGGCCGCAGTGTGAGTTGATCCGCTTTTGCAACCTTCTGACAATGGGGAAGCTAAATTCACTTAACAACCGGATTACTAACTTTAACAGCTGCAGTACTTCACTTAAAAAATTGTGAAAGATTGTTGCAAAACGGGGCCAAATTCACTTAACTAAAGTCTCTCTTAGCAATGGAAATTTGAGGCTTAATTGTGGTCATAAGTCGAGGACTGCCTGTATAGGCCAGTTTGAGCATAAAGCTGTCCCAAATGAACATCAGCCAACAGTTCAATCAATCAATCAATCAATCAATCCATCCATCCATTGGCAAATAAATAACTTTTCTCTTTTTTTTTTTTTAGCAGAAAGCGACGGCTCTGGGTGCGTTTTATTGCACACATCGAGAAAAGTAGGTACAATTCCACTTTAATTATCGTTCTGTCTCTCAGTCGTTCGGCTTTATAAAATATATAATATTTCCAAAAATACGGGCGTAAGCATGTTTTCTTAATTGTGGTCCTTAGTTTTGGGATCAGTTTTTGTGGTCTTCAGTTATCTTTTTATTTCAGCCTCCGATCTTCTCTCTTGTGGGCAGTTCTTGTATCTGAATTTTCCATAGGACAATGCGAACACACACATATATATATATACACATACATACATACAATTATTTTACAATATTGTGGCCTATTCTGGAACTACCCGGATGTCATTAGAAAAGGAGAACCAGCTTTCATTTCAGCTGAGAGAATCGATTGCACATCTGGATGGCATTCGATGGGCTTACAAGCATGGCCACTTTTAAAAATTAATACTGAAATTGGTGGGGTCTGACTTTACAACAGTTCATTTAGTGGCTGTTCAAAATTACAACAGCACACTGGAAAAAAGTTGATTTGTGACCGTTTTTCACACACCTTTGTAGCATCCTCGTGGTCACGTGATCAGAATTCAGATACTTGTCAGTTGACTCATATTTATGACCGTTGCAGTGTCCCTGGGTCATGGGGTCTCCTTTTGCGACAAGCAACGTCAGTCGGGAAGCCAGATTCACTTAATAATAACCTTGTTGCTAACCACAACTGTAGTGATTCACTTAGCAGTTGTGGCAAGAACGGTCATAAAACAGGGCAAAACTCACTTAACAACTGTCTTGCTTAGCAACAGGAATGTTGGACTCAGTGGTAAGGACTACCTGCATGCAGTCTTCTGCACTTTTGTGAGAACAAATCTTAGGGTATTTCTAAGTTGTTGGCCGGTTGTTGTCCATCCATCTGGAAAGTTCCTGGATTATAGATGTTCTGTGAGATGTTTCTCCTTGCAAGTAGGACCTTCTCCCAGAATCTGTGTGGTGGCCACCCCGGTCAGAAATTGTTGCGACATAGTTGTTATGACAAACGAGACGCCATAATTGTTATGAAAAATCAGTTGTCCCGCACACAAGGAGGAAATAACTCAAGGTTGTCTCAAAGGTGCTTTTTTTTCAGGAGACTTCCTTTGTTTTCTTTGAAGACGTTTCGCTTCTCATCCCAGAAGCTTCTTCCGCTCTGGCTGGATGGTGGGGAATGGAAAGATTTATACTCCTTGCAGACAGCTGGTCCTTTGCCTTCTTTTAGAGCAGTGGTTCTCAACCTGTGGGTCGGGACCCCATTTGGGGTCGAACGACCATTTCACAGGGGTCGCCAAACAACGCAGTCCGCCATTTTTCCCCCCTTTTCCTTAGCTGTGCTACTCCCTTTTATTCTATTGGCTTTGGAAAGCCAATAGAATAGAATCTCTTGAATAGAGTCTAATTCTAATGGCTTTCAAAAGCCAATAGGAATTGTCCAGGCTGTCTCTGCCCTGCTGAGCCCGCCAAAAGTCCCATTCTGCAAACGGTGCTGCACCAGTTGAGTAGTCCTCGACTTACGACCGGTTGAGTAATCCTTGACTTACGACCGGTTGGGGGGGGTCGCGGCATTAAAAAGGTTGAGAACCACTGTTTTGGAGAGTCGTGGAGGCCACTTGGAGGTTTGTCTGTCTGCTCAAATGGCCTCAACGACTCTCTAAAACACACATGTCAAAAACAAGGCCCGGGGGCTGGATGCGGCCCGCGAAGTGGTTTCATGCGGCCTGCGAAGCCATCCTGGAAACAGTGAGGGAACGGCCCCCGCTGCCTTGGCCCTGGCCCAGGCCAGCCGGGAGCCAATGTACAATTTTGTGGTGGCCCTCTATGCTGAAAAGCGTTCAGTCTTAGCTCCACAAGGCGGTCTGGAAACAACGAGGAACCAGCCCCTGCTGCTTTGGCCCCATCCCCTCGATACATGCTGGGGAGGGGTCACCCTTTGTGGGGAATGAAGAAATGCACCATCGCCTGGAAGTGGCCAGCAAATGGCCCTTGCCTACTTCACATATCCGGCTTGATGGGCTCTGCCCTGGTCCCCCCCCCTTCTGCCAGAGACCCTCACATCTGTCCCACTCCTGCCCAGGCCCCCACAGGCCCCCTTGATGCGAATGATGTAGAGCTGGCCACGCCCACCCAGTAGGCCACACCCACCCTGGCCACGCCCCCCCCCCAGGGCAACCGCAATGCTGATGCGGCCCTCAATGAAATTGAGTTTGACACCCCTGCTGTAAAAGGAGGCAAATGACCAGCGGTCTGCAAGGAGTATAAATCCTTCCCTCCCCCCACCATCCAGTCAGAGCCGAAGAAGCTTCTGGGATGAGAAGCGAAACGTCTTCAAAGGAAAAACAAGGCAGTCCGTCTGCCTCCTGGAACAGCACCTTTGGGACAGCCGTGACCTGGATGACGGAGAATCTCCATAGGCAAATCGCTCAAGAGTTGATTTTTAAGTAGAAAACACTCAAAATAGGAAAGACACTCCCAAGCTTTCCGCACTCGAAATGTTTGCCCGTGCATGGCATGCAGGCATTACGCCCTCGTCCGTCAGGGGGGATCCCAGATTTGGGAGGTCAACAGCAACGCCCGTACAAAAAGCAGGAGAAGACCCCGCTGGGCCATTAAATGTCTGTTGATATCCGTATCCTTTAATCAAAGCTTCGAAGCCCCATCCTGCCGGCTCACGCAGCGCTCTCATTTATGGGTTTCTATCCTATAGCTGCCGTCACATCTGTCCCCTTGGCCGAACTTGAGTAGCGCACGGAGGACTATAAAATGATTGCAGAGGAAAGTCCCGTTTCCTGCTGCACCAACGGCCGCTGCCAGTTTCCCCGTCGGACAGATGAAAAGGACTTTTCCTAAAGCGTTTAACCTCGTTGGCATTTGGGCCGTTCCCTGCAGCAGAGCCTTTGATGGGTTTGCTGGCTCCTGACATCGTTCGGGCTTTTCCGTCCACGGCCGGTAACGGGAGACGGGGCCCCAGGGACATGCAAAATTTTGTAATCTTTTGAGATAGGAGGTCCATCAAAGTTGGGTGGAGAAGGAAGCATCGCCCGATCCCGGCGGGCGGTTTTTATTGGGCTTGATGATGTTTTGCAAAGATTTAAGGTCAGTTACAAAAATTAGGGGCCCTGAGTGAAGACAGGCTGCTGGGGGAATTCTCGGGGTTGACGCCCACCCATCCTGCCAAGGTTGAGAAACACAATTTTTAGGGTCTAATACTGATAGTCCTCCCGTTAGGAGCACAATTGAATCCAAGGTTATTTGGTCTGGCTGTCAGGAAATTTCTCCTTTCTTTGCTCCCCCCCCCCCGATTGCACTTTCTTGTATTTGTTAAAATAAAACAAATACACTATATAGATTAGAGAAGGAAAATCAGTGAGGAAGGAAGGAAGGTAGAAAAGAAAGGAAGGATAGAGAAGGTAGAAAAGGAAGGAAAGAAGGTAGAAAAGGGAGGAAGGAAAGGAACAGGAAGGATAGAGAAAGTAGAAAAGGAAGGAAGGAAGAAGAAAAGGTAGAAAATGAAGAAAGGATAGAGAAGTTAGAAAAGGAAGGAAGGAAAGTGAAGGTAGAAAAGGAAGGAAAGAAGGTAGAAAAGGTAGAAAACAAAGAAAGGATAGAGAGAGTGGAAAGGAAGGAAGGAAAAAGGAAGGATAGAGAAGGTAGAAAAGAAAGGAAGGAAGGAAAGGAAGAATAGAAAAGGAAGGAAAGGAAATGAAAAAGGAGGAATAAAGATGGTAGAAAAAGAAGGAAAGAAGGTAGAAAAGAAAGGAAGGAAAGGAAAAAGGAAGGATAGAGAAGGTAAAAAAGGAAGGAAAGAAGGTAGAAAAGAGGGAAGAAGGAAGGAAGGAAAGGAAGAAAGGATGAAGAAAGTAGAAAAGAAAGGAAGGAAGAAGGTAGAAAAGGAAGAGGATAGAGAAGATAGAAAAGGAAGAAAAAAGGTAGAAAAGAAAGAGGAAAGGAAGAAAGGATGGAGAAAGTAGAAAGGAAGGAAGAAGGTAGAAAAGGAAGAAAGGATAGAGAAGGTAGAAAAGGAAGGAAGGAAAGGAAAGAAAAAAGGAAGAATAAAGAAGGTAGAAAAGGAAGGAAAGAAGGTAGAAAAGAAAGGAAGGAAAGAAGGAAGGAAGGAGAAAGTAGAAAAGAAAGGAAGGAAGAAGGTAGAAAAGGAAGAAAGGATAGAGAAGATAGAAAAGGAAGGACAGAAAGGGAAAAAGGAAGGAGGGTATATCAATAAAGTGTTATTTGGGGGAGGGGGAAGCCAAATACTACAAAATGTAAATTTCTGGTTGGCCCTGAGTGTGTAGCTGCACAGGTGGTAACTATCAGGAAAAGACAAATGGGCGCCTTAGAAATACTCATCAGTGATTTGAAGGGCCCATTTGTTAACGAATTCTCAACCTGACCAGTTTTCCTTCCCCTTAAGGTTTCAAAGTGCAGCGAGCACCGTCTCCTCCCTGCATGTCTATTCAGGAAGTCCTCGACTTACGTCCTTTTTGTTTAGGGACCGTTCAAACTTACAGCCGCCCTGAAAAAAAGCAACCAATGTCCATTTTTTTTCGATCCGTCGCAGCCTCCCCACGGTCACGTGGCCAAAATTCAGGCTCGTGTTTACGACAGTCGCAGTGCCCCGTGTGTGTGTGTGTGTGTGTGTGTGTGTGTCACTTTCATTTGAATCATGTTTGAACGTCGATACCTTTTTATCTCCATAAGCCACCAGAATTACCTTAACGGTAAGAGGGGCAGCCCGTCAAATTTTTAAATAAATAAATTGTCACTCGATAGCGAAACGAGCGGAACACAAATTCCGTAAATAAATTCATTAGCCGCTCTCTTTGGACTCGCCCCAGGTGACGGTGTGTTGTGTTTCTTCCAGAGTTGTGGCTTGAATGAGACACCAACGCCATGCCCTGTTTCTGTGTTTTGTTTTGTTTTTTCCTTGCAGTACCTAAAATTAAAGAATTTTGAAGAGGAGGTCAGAGCCCACCGCGATCTGGACGGCTTCCTGGCCAGAGCGAGCATCATTCTGGACGAGACGGCCACGTCACTGGACGACGTTTTGCGGGAGATGTTAAAACACTTTGCCGAAGACTCCGACAACTCAGAGCCGAGCTGCAACTTTGACAAAATTATGAGCACTTTATTCACCGATTCGGGGACCCCCAGAGAGGGGAATGGTACAATTTCCTTCTCGTTTGTCTAGGCTGGGGAAAATGTGGGTGATTTTTTTTCGTAGGATGTTGGCGTTCTGGGTACCCCCTTCCCAATCCATGGTAGTATAATAATAATAATAATAATAATAATAATAATAATAATAATAATAATAATAATAATAATAATAAGTAGTAGTAGTAGTAGTAGTAGTAGTAGTAGTAGTAGTAGTAGTAGTAGTAATTGGAAGGGATCTTGGAGGTCATCTAGTCCAACCCCCTGCTCAGGCAGGAAACCCTATACCAGTGATGGCGAACCTTTCAGAGACTGAGTGCCCAAACTGCAACCCAAAACCCACTTATGCATCGTCGGGTGCTGGGTGGGTGTGGCCCATAGGGTGGGTGTGGCCCATTGGGTGGGCGTGGCTGCAGTGGTAACAGCAGACTGGGTGGGACTAAAAACGTCAATCAATCAATTCCAACTTTGCAATATCTTTTTTTTTCTGCAAGAAGTTGAAACTGATTGATTGGATTTTTTTTTTTTTTTGTACACAGCGGCGGAGGCCTAAAGCGAAAAGGATTTATGAAACCCAGCTGAAGGCCTAGGACTGGGGTGATGGCGCGCGTGCCCACAGAGAGGGCTCTGAGTGCCGCCTCTGGCACCCGTGCCATAGGTTCGCCACCACTGATCTATACCATTTCGGACAAATGGCTGTCCAGTCTCTTCTTAAAAACTTCCAGTGTTGGAGCATTTACTGCTTCTGGAGGCAGGTAGTTCCACTGGTTAATTGTTCTGACTGTCAGGAAGTTTCTCCTTCGTTCTAGGTTGCTTCTCTCCTTGATTAGTTTCCACCCGTTGCTTCTTGTCCTGCCTTCAGGCGCTTTGGAGAATAGCTTGACTCCCTCTTCTTTGGGGCAGCCCCTGAGATACTGGACCACTGCTATCATGTCACCCCTTTCACTGTCCATCTCTAATGTTGGAAAATGCCCACAGTTGATCCTGGGATTCCTCTGCGCCTTAATTTACATGGAATATAGAAAATAGAACCTCAGGGCTGGAAGTAGGGACCTTGGAGGTCTTCTAGTCCAACCCCATGCTCAACTCATGACCGCTGTCGAATGATTATCCAGCCTCTTTTTGAAAAATGTAAGACGAGGGATTTCAGCCTCTTCTCCAAAGCACCTGATGGCAGGACAAGAAGCAACGGGTGGAAACTCATCAAGGGGAGAAGCAACCTGGAATTAAGGAGAAATTTCCTGATAGAACAATTCATCAGTGGAACAACCTGCCTCCAGAAGTTGTGGGTGCTCCAGTGTTGGAAGTTTTTAAGAAGAGATTGGACAGCCATTTGTCTGAAATGGTATAGGGTGTCCTGCTCGAGCAGGGGGCTGGACTAGAAGACCTCCAAGGTCCCTTCCAAGTCTGTCATTCTGTATCCTGTTGAAGTTCAGGACTAGGGGTGACATGATGGCAGTGGTCCAGTATCTCAGGGGCTGCCCCAAAGAAGAGGGAGTCAAGCTATTCTCCAAAGCCCCTGAAGGCAGGACAAGAAGAAACGGATGGAAACTCATCAAGGAGAGAAGCAACCTAGAACTATGGAGAAACTTCCTGACAGTGAGAACAATTAACCAGTGGAACTACCTGCCTCCAGAAGCGATGAATGCTCCAACACTGGAAGTTTTTAAGAAGAGATTGGACAATCCTTTGTTTGAAATGGTATAGGGTCTCTTGCTTGAGCAGGGGGTTGGACTAGATGACCTCCAAGCCGCCTCCCAACTCTGTTACTCTGAAAATTTCCAGTGATGGAGATTACAAGCAAAACACCGGAAGACCAAATTTTCTATAGGTTTCTGGCAAACGTGGAGTGAACTTAAAGGCAACTGTATATGTAAAAGGAATCAAAATTATTATTATTATTTTCTTTTTTGTTCTTTCGAACAGTTCACCTTTTATCGGACACAATTCAGGGGGTGACCGCCACAGTCACCGGGATCCAGTATCAGCAGTCGTGGCTCTGTATCATGTAAGTGTTTTGTCCAAAAGATTCAACCGTAACATTTTGGTGCAATTGAGGCTGTATCTTATCGAATCTTTTTTGTTTTGTGATTTAAAAATACTTTCTTGGTTTTTAACAATAACCATCTCTAGTGCCTGGTGTACGGCGTGCTGTCTTGGTTTATAGCAGTGTTTCTCAACCTTGACCATTTTAAGGCAGGTGGACTTCAACTCCCAGAATTCCACAGCCAGCATTGCTGGCTGTGGAATTCTGGGAGTTGAAGTCCACCTGCCTTAAAATGGTCAAGGTTGAGAAACACTGGTTTATAGATTTGGGGGGGGGGAGACAATAATAATTAACCGTCAGTAATGGTTAAATTTGATAATTCCATAATTAGTATATTAATTAATAATATATTTCTTTGATCTTCCCTTCTCCCGTTTGCATTCTCCTTCTTCAACCTTTAACAAGAGGGGGGGGGAGAGAGAGAGAGAGAGAGAGAAATGCAACAATGCATTAACGTTATAAAAGGGCTTAATTTTTCCAGTTCGCTAGTTTATAATCCCACCATTGTGCACGGGAATAAAAATTTCAAGAGTACAAAATGTTCCAGGGTAACGTCAGCTCAAGAGGCTGTACCTGAAAGAGGGTTTAGGTTTGAGGTCCCTTGTTAATAAGTTGGCCCTCCGATAGAAGAGACTGTAGCTCAGGGTTGGACTGTGGGGTCCTTGGTGCTCTCTGAGCTTGGTGGGTCTTCTTGCAGACGTCTCATGACCGAACTGGGTAACATCATCAGTGATAGAAGGGAATGAGATTTGTGGAAAGGAGGAGGAGGAGGAGGGAGGAGGACTGCAGGATCCTTAGTGCTCTGTGATCTGGATTGTTTTCTTGTAGACATCTCATGACCCAACTAGGTAACATCATCAGTGATAGAAGGGAATGAGATTTGTGGAGAGAAGGAGGACTGCAGGATCCCTAGTGCTCTCTAACCATGGTTGTTTTCTTGCAGACGTCTCATTACCCAACTAGGTAACATCATCAGTGATACAAGGGTGTGGGGTTTGCAGAGAGGAGGAGGAGGAGGAGGACTGAGTGGTTTTGATGCTCTCTTAGCGACAGAAACGTTGGGCTCAGTTTTGGTCCTAAGCCGAGGACTACCTGAATTCCCAACTTCATTTTGTGCATTTGTTTCATCACCTTCCTCTTAATTAACATTTATGTGGGCAGCGAAAATAAAAGAAGAAGCATAGCTCAGAGTAACATTTCTTAATTTTATGGAGTTTTCTTTGTTCAGTTTTTCATCTGAGAAGCTTCCCTTTCGGCTCAGCCATTGTGTTCTTTAAAGCCAAATTGTTCTTCAATAGAAAAGGGAGGAATACGGTGCCAGCAGCACCTGCTGAAACAGAATAAAACAATGGCGCAGAGAACAAAATGCACAACTTTTCAGCCCTTTGGAAGCCGTTGAATTTTTAAAGCTTTTACATACACTCTACTTACCTTTTTTTTTTTTTGGTACCGTGGGAGAGAAAATAACGAAGGAACAAATTTCTTTCCTTTAGAAATGCAAAATAACAGAAATTTGAATATATTTTATGACCTCCAGGGTTTCAACAGACACATTGTCCTTGACTTAAGAACTACAATTGGGGCCCGAAATTTCTTTGCTGAGCAAAGTGGTCATTAAGTGAATTGCACCTGATTTTAGGACCTTTTTCGGCCAGGGTTGTTAAGCAAATGACTGCATTTGTTAAGTGAATCCTGCAGTCGTTAAGCGAATCCAGCTTTCCCTGTTGGCTTTGCTGGGAAGTCACAAATGGGGTGTCATGGTTCCGACAGATGAAACTCTTCGAAAGAACTTCGAGGCATTGTTTACCTTAAAGAACCTTTTATTCGCGTAGCATAATATCGGCACTACACAACAGAAGCCAAAAACTGAATTCCCCTCCCCTGGACACCTAGTATCAAAGCACAATTCCCTCCTCCAAATAATAGTCATAAATCACATTCCCCAATTAGCTTGAAGTGCGGGCTTCTTCTACAGTTCTCCAGCCTGTGAAATCCTTATCAGCTCTGGTTACAATAACCTTGATTCTCCCGCTAGGTTTAGTGTTGTTATGTCTAGCTGGACTCTCATTCACATTCTCCCCCCCCCCCCAGCATCATCTAACTCGGCAACTGGTTCGTATTTATGACGGTCGCCGTATCCCTGGGCTCACCTGATCCCCTTTTGCGGCCTTCCGACAAACCAAGTCAATGGGAGAGCCCGATTCACTTAACAACCGTGTTACTGACTTAACGACGGCAGTGGTTCACTTAACTTTGGCAAGAAAGCTTGTAAAATTGGGGGGGAGACGGGAAACCTCACTTAACCAACGCCTCGCTTAGCCACGGAAATATTTGGGCTCCCTTGTTGTAAGTCGAGGACTACGGGTAACCTGGAAAAAGTTGGGGGTGCACAGCAGACATTGAAGTAAGTCAACCGGCTTGGCAGTTTCCATAAGCTTTGCACTCTTCCCTTCTTAGCCACAGAAACGTTGGACCCAATCGTGGTCGTAAGGCGAGGAATATCTGTGCGCTTTTGAGTCCCAAACGTTCTTGGATTCAAAACACCCCGTTTTTGAGCACTGCGCCGATGCTTCAGGTGCCAACGTGGGCTTTTCGCATTCTGGAGACAGTTTCAATTATGTAGAGACAATTTGGGGCTGAAAAGACAATTTTAGCTTCTTCCTGGCTGCGAGTGAGAAGGCCTCGCTTAACAAGTCCCCAAGTGAGGTGTGGGCAAAATGTCTGCTGACACATATGTACACAAGTTACCTACAGCCAGGAACGATCACTGCCAAAAAAAAAAAAATGAAAAAATTAAGTTGAACTTAAATCGAGACGTCTTAGAGCAGGAGGGTGACCAACCCCCGGGCTGTGAACCGGTACCGGGCCGTGGCATGCTGGCAACCGGTCCACACAAACAAGCAAAGCCCCATCCGTGGGATGTAGGCAACACACAAAACCACGCACCCTCCGGTTTGTGGAAAAACCTCTCTCCACGGAACCGAGGTGGCGCAGCAGTTCGAGTGCAGTACTGCAGGCCACTTTAGCTGACTGTGTTCAGCAGGTCAGCGGTTCAAATCTCACCGGCTCAAGGTTGACTCAGCCTTCCATCCTTCCGGGGTAGGTAAAATGAGGACCCAGATTGTTGGGGGCAATGTAAATATATATATATATATATATATATATATATATATATATATATATATATATATATATATATACATTGTTTACTGGTGTACACCGCTTAGAGAGTGCTTGCACTTAAAGCGGCATATAAGTCTCATAAATAAATAAATAAATAAATAAATAAATAAATAAATAAATAAATAAATAAACCGGTCCCCGGTACCCCAAAGATTGGGGGCCTCTGCCTTAGAGCAGGAGAGTGTCCAGCCTTGGCAACTTTTAAGACTTATGGACTTCAGCTCCCAGAATTCCCCAGCCAGCCATGTTAGTGGGGGTGGTGGGGAAGCCAGATTGGCGTCATGGCCTCTTGATCTGCTTAATAACAACTGTGGCGAGAAAGGTCGTCAAATGGAGCAAAGCTCACTTCAGCTGCTTTGCTTAGCACGAAAAATGTGGGGCTCCGTTGTGGGCGTCAGTCGAGGACTACTTGTATATTCTGCCCCTCCCCCTTAGAAAAAAAAGGACAGTTTTAGCCAAGGAATATCTTTAATTCAGGGACTATTGCACAATTTTCAGGATCTATGGCAGGGGTAGGCAACCTTGGCTCTTTTATGACTCGTGGACTTCAGCTCCCAGAATTCCTGAGCCAGCCATGCTGAGGGGAAAGGGAGAGGTTTCCAAGCTGAGCTGTGCTGGCTCAGGAATTCTGGGAGTTGAAGTCCACGAGTCATGAAGGGGCCATTGTTCCCCCATGCTGGCTCAGGAATTTTGGGAGTTGAAGTCCACGAATCATGAAGGGGCCATAGTTTCCTCATGCTGGCACAGGAATTGTGGGAGTTGAAGTCCACAAGTCATAAAAGTGCCAAGGTTGTCTCCCCCTTGCCTAGGGGAAATATATAACATGTGGATCTTTTTCAATCTTTTATTTTTTGAGCTGTTCTCTGTACAAGTCGTCCCTGACTGACTGACGACTGTTTCTTGAGTGACTCTTCAGAGTTACGACAACATGGAAAAAAGTGACTTATGGCCATTTTTCACACTTAATGACCGTTGCTGCATCCCCGTGGTCACGGGATCAAAATTCCGTTGCTTGGCAACTGACTCCTATTTACGACGGTCGCCGTGTCCCTGGGGGATCACGTGATCCCCTTTTGCCACCTTCCGACAAGCAAAGTCCATGGAGGAAATGCAGATTCACTTCACAACCGTGCCACTAACTTAACGACTGCAGGGATTCACAACATCAGTGACAAAGGTCGTAAAACGAGGCAAAACTCAACTATTTTTCTCACTTAGAGACAGAAATGGTTGTTGGGCTCCCTTGTGGTCGTAAGCCGAGGACTGCCTGTGTAGTTCACGTTCCTGCCGCAGTTCCTAAGGAGTTAATCCGAGTCTCGCTTTGTCTTTTAACGAAATGCCAGACCCTGAGAATTCAAGAAAAGAAGCAACAATGCAAATATTAAATTAGTCTTCCAAGATCATGTTCTAAAGAGATTCTTCATCTTTAATTAGTTTTTTTTTTCTCTCTTGTCACTTTGATGATAGGAGAGAGGCTTTTTATTGTGCAAATGTTCTCTTTAATTAAATGCAGGTAACTCGTTTTACTATAAGGATTGGCATAATTGGTTTATACTGAGTAATGCAGGAGCTGGCTAATGTTTTCTCGGAGTTTTAGGAAGGGCTTAGGAAGCAAAAAAAAAAAAACAAAACTTGTAGTCCAGAGACATTCTCCTATATTTTGGTTTTCTGCCGCTGCTCGTCGATTTGAAGGGGAGAAAAAATAGACAATTGGGATGTTTTCAGAGCAGGAGGGGGGATCTGGTCCTTTTTTAACAGGGAAGTGGCCCAAGATTGTA